CTCTCAATCCGAGTCGCTGTCTGGAGCCCACTTCATTGAGAAGGGGCTGAGGCCTGAGGTGGAGGGTTCTGCCTCCAGGTAGTCCTCTTTCCAGGTCATCTGGAGGAGGGGCCAAGGCCTGAGGTAGAAGGGGCTGTGTCCACGTCGCCCTCCTCACTGTTCCTCGGCCTTTTCACTGACCCCGTCCCTTGTCATCCTCTGGCCTGCTTGGTGGACACTCACTGTTCCTCTGTCTTTTCAAACTTACCTGCCACGGGTCGCAAACTTAAAATCCATAAAGAAGATTCATGTAAAAACTCTGCTGCAAGATGCTACCAATAGCCAACTTCGCTAAACACGAGGGAATGCTGTCTGGGGCTTTTTCAGTCCTGACCAGACAAACAAAGGTTTTACATCATGCAGCAAGCAGAATGTCACTCTCAATCCGAGTCGCTGTCTGGAGCCCACTTCATTGAGAAGGGGCTGAGGCCTGAGGTGGAGGGTTCTGCCTCCAGGTAGTCCTCTTTCCAGGTCATCTGGAGGAGGGGCCAAGGCCTGAGGTAGAAGGGGCTGTGTCCACGTCGCCCTCACTCCTGTTCCTCGGCCTTTTCACTGACCCCGTCCCTTGTCATCCTCTGGCCTGCTTGGTGGACACTCACTGTTCCTCTGTCTTTTCAAACTTACCTGCCACGGGTCGCAAACTTAAAATCCATAAAGAAGATTCATGTAAAAACTCTGCTGCAAGATGCTACCAATAGCCAACTTCGCTAAACACGAGGGAATGCTGTCTGGGGCTTTTTTAGTCCTGACCAGACAAACAAAGGTTTTACATCCTGCAGCAAGCAGAATGTCGCTGTCAATCGAAGTCAGTATATTGGGGGGGCTGAGGCCTGAAGTTGAGGGAGGAAACCACTTAGTCCTTTGCTCGGGTCTTTTTTGAGGAGAAAACCAGGCCTGGTGGAGGGTGCTGCCTCCCTGTAGTCCTCTTCTCCGGTCCTCTAAGTGGAGGAGGGGTGTGTTCCTCCTCATCGTTTCTCTGCCTTCTTCATACTTACCGGCCTCTTGTCACTCTCAATCCGAGTCGCTGTCTGGAGCCCACTGCCAGTATCTTCTGTGTGTGGGGAGGGTGAGGCCTGAAGTGGAGGGTGCTGAGTCCCTGTAGTCCTCTTCTCTGGTCCTCTTGGTGGAAGAGGGGCCGAGGCCTGAAGTGGAGGGTGCTGAGTTCCTGTAGTCCTCTTCTCTGGTCCTCTTGGTGGAGGAGGGGCCGAGGCCTGAAGTGGAGGGTGCTGAGTCCCTGTAGTCCTCTTCCCTGGTCCTCTTGGTGGAGGAGGGGCCGAGGCCTGAAGTGGAGGGTGCTGAGTCCCTGTAGTCCTCTTCCCTGGTCCTCTTGGTGGAAGAGAGGCCGAGGCCTGAAGTGGAGGGTGCTGAGTTCCTGTAGTCCTCTTCCCTGGTCCTCTTGGTGGAGGAGGGGCCGAGGCCTGAAGTGGAGGGTGCTGAGTCCCTGTAGTCCTCTTCCCTGGTCCTCTTGGTGGAAAAGGCGCCGAGGCCTGAAGTGGAGGGTGCTGAGTCCCTGTAGTCCTCTTCCCTGGTCCTCTTGGTGGAGGAGGGGCCTTGACCTGAAGTACAAGGGGCTGTGTCCACGTGGTCCTCCTCACCGATCCTCTGCCTCTTCACACTTACCTGCCCTGTGTCGTCCTCTTGCCTGCTCCTCTTGGTGGACACTCCTGACATCTGAGGGACGGGGGTTGACGCATCTTCAGGACACTCCACGTGAGAAGAAGGTTGGGGCAGCAAGAAAGGGCCATCTTCATTTTCCTCTTCTTCCTCCCAGTCTATTCCTTCCACCTCGTCGTCAAACATCAAGGAGTCGTATCCAGAATCGTCGCTCTCCCATTCGAACTCGTCCTCCTCCTCCTCCTCCATGTCCTGTAACATCCTGTCCGCCTCCAGAGCATAGTACGCCAAATCCCTCCCGAAGTCCAAATGGTACGCCATCTCTTCATAGTCCTCCTCCTCTTCCTCCTCTTCCTCCTCTTCCTCCTCTTCTTTTTCCTCTTCCTCCTCCTCGTCAAAGAAGGCCAAGGGAAGAAAGTCACCTTCACCCACAACATAAAGCTCACCTACCTCTACCTCATCAGAGGGGTTGCAGATGGGGAGAACACCGGGGTTGTCGCCGAGGATCCTGCAGTCTTCAGCGGGACGCTCCATGACTCAGCCAACACCAGCTTTGAAGGAAACATTTAAACTGTCAGGATCTGTCATTACATGAAATAGTTCTTACATAAGCAATAATAAAATATTTCATTTGTAAAGTCGACAGCTGATCACCACAGAAACTATGACTGCACGACACAAGGAGTCACCAACACACATGAAGCATGTCCTTTGAACCGTAACATGAAACAGCTCTGCCTCTGTCAAGCTGAACAGATAACACATGGCAAACCAACTATAACAATAATAATACAACAATTAATGTAAATAATATCCTGTTGTGGTTTTATGTGGCAAAAAAAAATGCGGTAGGGTTTCTAATATAAAAAAGCTTCTAATCAGCGGGTCAACTGAGCCACTGTTGGAGCTCTGGACAGAGACGTGGATTCTGCATGTGTGTCATTACTTTGCAATAAAAAGCGTGGACCTGTTTGATGTGCATTGAACTAGTGAGTCAGTGAAACACGGCGGCATTGATCCAACATAACCACTTGATCTTCTTTAATGTCTCTTTATTCTACCAGACAGTGTATGAGTTGCACATCGCAGCGCGTGAGGAGGTGCAGCACGCGCACATCGCGCAATACCAGAGACGTGGTGCGTGCAGCGTGCAACAATACATTCATAGAAGTTTCAACCATCGTGACGTCGCCTCTCAGCCGTCGCTATCGAATCATCATTCGGATCACTATTTAAACGTTCTATGAATACGTTCTCAGCGCCATCTTTTTTCACAAATTTCAATGTTAAACTTCGACGATTTGATACCCTAAAACCGAAATAATAGTGTTTTAAAAGCTCTACACTAATTGTTGACACATTCCGCAGATGTCCCGCGACATTTAACTGACCCCGCGCCTCAAATAATCCTCCTACAGGGAGAAATCATCGACTGAGTGTCTTTGTCCACCAAATCACACTTCTTTCACCGTTAAACTCAATGTATCATACTCATTTGTAAGCTGGGAACCCTTCTAAGGGCGTAAGGGGGTCAGAAAGTTGTCTTACTTGCGCACCGGAGGTCCCAATCACAGCCGACGTCCTCCAGCAGGTGCTCGTCCGCGATGCTCAGCCGCCTGAGGGCCTTTTTCAGCCTCTTCTGTGCTCCACAAGAGTTGTTATCTAGTAGTTCACTTCTCCAACAAGATTCGTATCGATAGATTTCGTCCAGCAGTTAAAAACTCAAAGAGTTCGCTTTCAACAGTTTGATTTCACAAGAGGTTTAAAGTTCGTGTTCAAGTCAAAGTGCAAATGGAACGATCAGAAAGTCTGCTGACCTTAAGTAACCTCGGGCGGGTCATCGCTCCGTTGCCAAGGCACTTAAGAACGCGCGTGCGTGCCTGTTTGTGCTCTCGTTTTTATTATATAGATCTCGTTTTTTAATTGATTACGGTATTATTTATGTTCTTTTTAGCGATTCATGCCCATTCAATACAGTTTACTTGTGAACATCTTTTTCTTAAACTCCAAAAAAGCGGCATATGTTTGTATGTATTTAATTTAATTATTGAAATAACAGGTCTTAAGTTGCGCTAGAAGATCAATGTGAGAGTTTACGGTGAGATTTAGATGATGAGTTGGGAATTAATAAACCACCAGAAATTAAACTGTTTACTTAAAGGTGTATTTAAAGGACATTTTATAAACTTATGAAATGTAAACTTTGGAGTGATATCACAACGTTTACACATGTTTAAAATCATTCAATCTGAACTATATTTATGTGGATATCATAAATCCGAAGTATCCGTGTTTCGCTGAAAACACGGTTTTTCGGATGCAACATAGTCAGAGGTTCAAAGTAAGATTGTTTTTAGGTTGGACTGTTTTGTGATTGATTTCATTTTGGTCAAATTCATGATTCATCAAACGGTTTCAGCTTTAAAGTATTCCTGTATCACATGAATAATAATATTATAATAACCGTCGTGCGTTGCCATTTAAATGTGATCTAACACCCTCAGAGGTGAAATGATCAGAGCAATTAAAGCGGATTTCTTGAAGCCTTTTGATGGAATATAAACGCGATCGAGTTTTTTTTGTGTTTTTCATGAGCTCTGGTTTTAGGTTTGTTATTGCAGATATTCTGCATTAGTGTGTCAGTGAGGTGAAGAACTACAGCACTGCTTCAACATGTTTAGGAAAGGATTCTAAATTGAGATGAATGTGTCACCTCCATTCAGCTGCCAACGAAGAAAAAATGTATACAAGTATTTATCATAATTCAACCTCCACATTGAGAGACAAAATCACGGTATTTAAACCCCACGTTTAGGACTGTTACGTCCGGTCCATAAGGGAATAAGGTGTTGGCACAACAACTTATTAAGACAACTTAATAATACAACTTAATAAGTTGTTGGCACCCCCTCTCTCCCTCTCTCCCCGCACGCGCACAGACATTTTGGGGGGCAGGTGCTCAAAATCCCCAAACAAAAGGACACCCATCGCCAAAATTATTCATGAAATTAAAAATAATATTGATAAATAAATAAACAGACAGAGTTGAAGCATAAGCAGCATTACATTAATAATATACCACAATACACCTCACCAGACCGTCATGTAGCTCAACTTAAGACCTGTGATTTCAATAATTAAAATAATTAAATTAAATTATAGTGAACGACACTTTAAGCCTGATTTCAGTTGTTGACTTCCTCCTGTAATGAGACATCTCGTCTTAGAATAACGGCAGAAGAAGAGGAGAATATTTAAAGTAGATGAACATGTGTCCTACATGGAACATTTTGATTAAAACATGAATGTTTCTAAGAAATGAAGTCAGGCAACTGAAAGCACAAACTAATCCAATAAAACAAATTCAAGCCCCGAGTTCAACAAGATATGTGAGCGATCAGAAAAATGTGTGTCAACTGCTCCCAAAATAACAAAATCCTAAATATTCTAATAGGCTAATTTACTCGCTCCAACGTTAATGGTAACTTGATCTCAACTGTCTCTAGTGACTAAAATCAGCCAACGAATCAGAGGGTTTGTTATTGAACCCTGTAACACATCTAGTTGTCTTTTTCTATATATTATGGTATAATACTAAATACTAAATTCATGTATTAATTAATATGTTTTACTGTTGAGGCAGCCTGAAGTTAAATAGTCACCATACAACTAAAAATGATTATATAGTGATAAACTAACGTAATTTACATGTCTAACTACTGCAGAAAGTAGACTCGGTCGTGCGACGCTGGGGCGACGTAGAAAGAAGAAAGAAAGAGCTTTTATTGCACTATTTAAAGGTGGATGCAGGAAATCTTATTGTGAAAGGACAGAATTGGGTTCCCGGATATGTTAACAGCGTTTTTGATAATTTTGACGACCTTCTAACCACATTTATTTGTAAATTAAATATATATGTGACTTTTTTTGTTTGCATTTGCAATTATTGAGACTGATCGGACTCCATAGATTCATGGCGACAATATGAATTTATTGAAGTGTTTCAATCACCACACTGTAGTTTCATGGCGTAAACCAGTTGCAACGATAAGGTCGTACTAATCCTGTTCGTGTGGCCCACCTGGGATTTGGGAGCGGTTTTCTCATCGTGTATCTCATCATAAACGTTTTCCCGGCTCTGACCAGCTGTTTCGGTGTTGCCGTGGACGCGCACGTTCACTTGTGCGTCCTGACGATCGATTGCTTTGGGCTGCCGCTCTCGCGTCACCAGGAAGCAGCGGTAGCCCTTTCTGTTTGTAGCTCGCGCCTTCGCTTTAACGTTAACCGTGGCCGGTAGATGCGCACTTGCACGGGGATGAGCGACGCACGCAACGGAGAGGCGTCTGCGGCCATAACGGTGCACAATTTCTCGGAGAGGATTTTGGAGCAGGTGATACACTTCCACGTGATGAAGCTCAGCGGCGGGTTCTTCCTCTGGGTCGGTTCCAGTCCGGTTCTGTCCAACCTCGCGGTGTCGATGGGCAGCAGATACGTGAGGACACGAGTTACACGTTCAAAGGGGTTTTGCTTCTTTTCTTTTATTGCCTCTTCATACTTGTACGCTACGCGTTTAAACCACGGGCTGTTGATCTGCTACACTTTATTTCGGGGAACAACTTTACTAATTGACGTTTTAACGATACTGAGAGCTTGTAGAACGGGATGTTTCTGTCCTAAAGCTGCTGACGTTATCCATCATTTCACGCCACGCGTAAACATCAGACGTGATCAGTCGATTAACCAGTTACCTCACAATGTAAATAATCATTGCACAGTAGTTATAAACTAGTAAATAAATGATCTACTGCTTTAGTGCACGTGTAATAATGTAATGTGTAATGTGACAGTGTGTCTAAGGCTACAATTTCCCTCAATTGTGTATTTATACATTTTTTATTATTGACTTTAAAAAAATACCTTTTAGAAACTGTTTTAGGCCACGCATTAGTAAATATAAGACTTGTTTTCATCTCTCTAACTTTATTGAGACTTCTTTTCGTTGATGCACAGTCCGATGAGGTTGACAACGAGAATACACGACGTTGAGGAACTGGCACACTTCACTGCTGTTTATTTCAATTGTTATTTCTATACTCATTGACAGATTGTAGTGTGTTGTTTATTGCTCATCGATGGCTTAGTGTCCTCTGACTACAACACAAACCGGAGACAACTGAACTGTTGTCTGACGGGAGTCACTAGGGGTAAAAACAGGGTTCAGGATCTGTTGCCTTCACTTCTATTATTATATAGATATATTAAGAAAGTCAGAATTTTGGATGTGAGACAGTTCATTATTTTTTCCCCCTGAAAAGACACTAACTGCAGGTGTACACATTGTTTTGTTTTTCTTGTCTGCAGGATTCGATGCCATTATCTACATTAGTCATGGGGGACCCATCCAATACCGCTGCTAATTCTATGGCACAGAGATTAGGTAATCATGCATGACGTATAACGTTTTTAGTTACTAAAACGTTGGAGCACTTATGTAATGTGGTTTGATTTTCTGTATCTTTAAATAGGTTATTTGTATGTTTGAGCTCATTTGAGAAACCCTGAACCGTAAAATGCTAATAATTCTCAAAATGCTGCGCGGATGTTTTGAATTCATGAGTCAGACATTCATTTGATTTATATTATTTATTTTTTTAAACTCACTTTTTATTTTGTTTTCAACAACATGACAACATGCATTTTCAGACAGTTACTTTCTTTGTCCATTTTACAGTTGTATGTAGTCTTGTTACACATGATATTCAGGTGCTATGTACATTTGATTTATATTATGGATTTGAATTATTAACTAAGTTCTTCACCGGTCGCATGTCAATTCATCTTTTCAAGTAGATCTTCAACCCTCGCATCATTTCATTAAATGTGTGATAAACACACAGACGTGTTGTTGCAAGCTTTCTACGATGTTTGTCATTCTAAAAAGGCTTTTAAAAATAATTCCTTTCAGATCTCCACAAACCTCTTAGTCTGACTCTAGTGTAATTGTGTTGTAAAGCAAACAATTCATTTTACAATCCAAACTAAACGGGAGGTAACGGTCTGTGTCTGTCTGTCTTGCAGCAAAGAAGACCAAAAAGCAAGTGTTTGTGAGTTACAGTCTTCCGATGACGGACTCCAACCTCAGTCTTTCGGTGGAGCAGAGGATCAAAAAGGAGGTGGAGCTTCACCCTGAACACTTTTGATCACATTCGATTATTTACTCCTGTTTTGTGTAGAGCTGAGGATAAGATGGGAAGAGGGGTAGAAGTAGCGTTTCTTCCATTTGGAACTCCTGCAGACACTGTCGTGGTACAACAAGAATCACCACAAACTGTCACATCAAGTGTTCTTTTATTGACACAATAAATTAAGTGGTTTATTATCAAAACATGTAGGCCTATGGCTTTTTGTACAAATGCGTCATATTAAAAAAATACCATTAAGAAAACCGCATTAGTGGTTGAGTTTTTTTTCACTTTTGAAAACATACAAACTAGTATACGGTACAGGGTGTTCAAAATACGTGCTGTGTACTACACATGAATATTGTCTATATGAATGAAAATTGGTTTATCCATTCAAAGATCTTGTATCCTATAAAAGTAAAGTTGATGGTCCCTACATTATGAATGGTACATGTATCCATACATTACATTTGTATGCAGTCCTAAAGGATACTTATCTAGTAAAGTGTATTATTGTACACCGATCACATCTAGGCCAGGTCTGTGCAGGCTGCGCTGCTCTATTCTAATCTTCACAAACGCTTATTTAAAAAAACTGTAAAATATTGTGCTTTCTGGCTATAGTTACACATCCTCGGAGCAGGATCACAACATTACCACAGTACAGAGAACAATGAGAGGGAGTGGAAATATCTGCTAATTAGAAGGTATTTCAAGCAACAAAACTGCCCTTGGGAGCAGGAGAAAATAAATACTGGTTACCTTGAATTGAAATCCTCTGTTCCTTTAAAAAATTAAAAAAAAAAGAGTAACAGAGCCATCATGATAAAGCCATTGAAATGCTGAGAAGCGTCATAAGACATACGGTTGCACACTCGACTGGTAAACTCTCATGTCCGTTCAACTCTCAGGTTTTATTCAGCGCCACTCGCCCGTCTCTACGAGCTGCACGTGGAATCTGCCAAAGGTCTCCGGCTGTTGGTCCCATCCGACAACCATCATACACCAATATAGCGGTAATGCTTTCTTGTGTCTACACTGACCTCGTCTGTGAGGAGAAAGTGCCACAACAGACTTCTAGCAGAGGAACAACAAATACCAAATCAAAAAAAGGAAACATGTCAAACCATTTGTGCCCTTTCATGCAAAAGAGAGTGTTAGTGGTTTAGCCAAATCCCTGGTGCTCCAACAAGTCGGCTGAACATCACAAACACTTGATTGTGTCTCTGACATTTAGTGCAAAATAACTTCTAAAGAATTACAAGATGCAGTGAAATTTTCTCCCTCAAACGAGTCAAAACCCGCAAACGGAAACGTCCCCCGAGCGGACGTTACTCTGAGGGTCCGCTCCGCTTTGCCCGCTTCTTCTACCTGTCGATCCTTCTCGGACGGCAGTGCAACAAACTCCCCAAACAACACTTTCAAATTATTTAACGCACACTGACTTCAGATGGACTTGCTCAAGAACAATATTTTTTCTTTTGGCAACTCCTGAATGAATCATAGTCACAACAAAACTACGCACACAAATATATTACCGTCACCATTAAACAGTTTGTCTGGTTCATCCGAATAATTCATTTTTCTCCTAAAAGTTGTGCGTTGTCCCAGATTCGTCGCTGGATGCTGAAGCGACAACCGGCGCAGTGGGAGGCTTATTGCTCGGGCGCTCGCACCCCGTTGGCCACGGCCTGGTTTCCGATCACCTCCCCGCCGGTGGCCAACGAGTACGAGGCCGGCACCGCCGCCAGAGCGGTCGCCGCGGCCACCGTGGCGCCCCCGGTGGTCGTGAGGTGCAACGGCGTGTCGTGGACGCGGGCGTAGTCCCCGTCGGTCTTGGCCAGGAGGAGGTGCTGCTCCCCCGGATGCAGCAGCGTCTGTCGGGTGAAGCTCTCTCCGTCGGCCAGGCTCTCGGGTAAAGGCTGGCCCCGCGGCTCGGGCAGCAGCAGCAGGCAGATGATGCACAGCAGGGTGCAGCAGGCGAAGATCACGTGGTGCAGGAAGTAGCCCTTCTGGTTGTGGAGCTCCATGATGGGTGCGGTGAGCATGCCGAAGCCGGCGCTGGCCAGGACCAGACCCAGTCCTCCACCCCTGCACGGCGGGGGGGAAAGATTAGTCTGACGGCAGGAGCTCGCTGGGTTTCAGCGCTCTGTAGGAGAGATGGTGGGCATGTGTGCACCTTGACTCACACAAACCTTCAGAAACCTTTTGCGGGTGTATAAAGGACTCACCTGTCAGTCAAACCTGCACCACAAGGTGGCGCTAACAAGCAACATGAACAAGAGATTTGGCCAAAGATTCCATACGCAGCGACCGTTCACATTATGGACGGGTCAGTGAACGGCGGAGGATACTGTATTTGCCGCGATCTCATCATTTCGTACTAAGAGGAAAATATCATTTCATGTATGATCACTACCACTCTCTGGTCCATTAAACGTAACAAATAGACTAAAATGAATTTCCAAAGACAAGACTTCTTTTGGCAGTAAGAGAATGTAGAGATAGAAGATAACGCAACATTTTTCAGACCGTGCTGGAAACTACACACTTAGATTGAACAAACTACTCAAAGATACTATGTAGTACTACATTGTGCCGTGTTTTTTTTGTGGTGAGTGTTTATTGTATTTCATTCTTAGAATTTTGACCATCCAGTAAAATGGCCCGTGATGGATCGTCCACCATCGGTGACGAATGAGAAACGGTTCCCCTGTCCATGAAGGGTCCCCTGTGTGTTGTTCTGCGTGTTTCTGGTCTTCGAGGCTCACCTGATGACAGTTGGGGTGATTTCAGCACAAAAGAATATGCTGAGTGTGCTGACCGCGTGGGAGGAGAACATGCCGATGATGGAGAAGGCCACCGAGAATTTCCTGTTCAGGGTGTCCCGCAGAACTGTCCGTAGGAGGACAATAAAAAGGCGTAAGTACACCAGAAATGTCCAACATGAGACACAGAGAGCTGTTTGTTTAACAGAAGTTGTGGGCATAACAGTGTTAATGTAAGGGACGATGTCCGAGGGGGCCCCCCAGGGTAAAGATTCACTTCACACTAATGACCAGCTTATACATTATTCTGCTTTTCTTTCCACAAATTTGAATAATTTAATTAATAATGTATTGCTTCCAATAAACAAATAGTCCTCTTTATGTGTTTGAAGTGCTACTCGACTATTTCTGTTTTTTTGCAAAAGCATATAACAGCGAACTGAAACGTAGTTGAGAACAAGTCTAGCAAGCTCCGCGTGACCCTGAATGCAGCACGTTGGGAACAGAAATGCAAACATGCAACGTTGTGTTGTTTTTCAACGTCTTTGTCATTACTTAGCATACTGATTACTTGGTAAACTGAAGCCATGTTCACTTTAATACGTTTATTTGTAGACAGCAGTGAGAGTGATGCATCTATGTCCACAGGGAAAAACACTCAAACCAGAGGCTTGAGAAGTTTAATTCATTTTACATTTACAAGTGGACTTTTTGGCGGGGGCGGTTATCGTAGCGTATACACTATTTTATTCAACGTTTGTTTTTTCGTTCAATGAGAATACATTTCTACCAAGTGGATTGAGTCAAACATGTATTTTTTTCTAATTTGCATAAGAAATGTTTGCATGCATGTCTGCTTATGACAAACCAAAATGGTGTTTTGTTTACATAAATTTCCCATTAATTCCCATGCAACATTTCCAACATGGAATTCTCTGAATTTTGCAACCCTAATCAGAACTGTGGAAATCTGCTGTAAGGAACTAACGGACCATGGAATCCGAGGCCATGTAAGAAAATAAAGGACCTTAGTATCAGACCACAATATGTAAAAAATGAACAAACTGTAGTTGTACCTGTGTCGTGGCGAAGGCTGTACTTGCCAATCACTGGTTTCCATTAGCGAGCGTTGGAGAGAGGAGAACATGTCATTAGTGAGCACAAAGAGAGCACAATTCTTTTTAAAAAGCCTCGAGCAGAACTCTGCACAGTACCACTGAAGCCTGAAATGATGACCCCCTTGCAGGACAGAAGACGGAGAACTCCAGTCTGTACTGTTTAATGTTTAATGACAGGGTGATGCAAAATGTCCAATGTCAAACCTCCCAACTTTTTTCTAACTCGGACACCCGACTAAACCGCACAGGCGCAACCGTCAAAAGCGGAGCGACAAGTGTTGTGATTACTCACAGTTGAGTAGACCCAGCTGTAGAAGGGACGCCAGTGCTGTGATGATCATGAAGGTGAGCAGCCCTCCCCGCCGACCCATCAACCCCACCGCGGGGCAAACCGCCAGGCATGTTGCCACGGCGATGCCAGCCATGGTGTAATAGTCTGCGTGGCACAAAGCCGTGGGCTGGGCCTCCGGGTCCATCATGCTGCGGGCGAAGCAGTGGTGGATCCCGTAACCGGTCAGCCTGCACCAACAACAGCGAGACACAATCAGCAGACGGACGGCGAGGCGGGACCAGAGGTTCGCCCCCCTCATACGTGTCCTTTGTCTCTAGGGGATGAGCCCATAGGAAATTCATGCCCTCTCAACAAGACGGGACACACTTACGAGTTGACGCACAGCACCACGATGTTTTTCCACAGGTTCCTCGTGCTCATCATCTTGACAATGCAGGTCGGTTGGGGCCTCTTGTGCAGCTCCTGCTCCAGCTCTGGTAGGAAACACGAAGCACGCCTTGAGACCTTTGCTTGCAGAGGGTAATGAGAGGCCAGCCTCTGGCTCAGACACACTAATGGGCTCTGTGTGTCTGCATGGCCACGAGGAGAGGCATGAGGTCGGTGAGAATGGGGAAGGTGTGAGGTAAATCCTCAAATGAAATTAGTCAGTAGGGGCAGTTTGGGACAGAAGTCAGACTGATCTTATTCATCCAATGGAGCATGCATGTGTTTGTGTGATTGCACATTCAGAAATACGTTGAGAGACGCTGCTGGGAAACTACAGCATGGTTGCACATGTGAAAAGGGGATCTTTGAGACTTTCTATGTGAGTCAGTGGCTTTGTGTCCGTTGCATGTGCATTTCATCACAGGCTGAGAAGCGGCTGTGTCATAACGCAGATGACAGTTCGAAATAATTGGAATAATAAAGTGAATAAAGCAAAAAGACTGAGGATCGGGCCTCTAGTTTGATGCCCCTCACCCGTCAGAACGCCTCTCGGCTCGGTATTCAGGTTGACCTGGTTCTTCCTGGCGATACGCAGCATCATGGCTTTGGACCGCCTGTAGTGCTGGGTGGCAAGCAACCAGCGCAGCGACTCCGGAAAAAGCCTGGCGAGGGAAAGAGAGCAGCGGGAAGGGCATGGAGGAGGAGAGCAAGACGTGAACAGATTGGTCAGAGCAAGAAGAAGAAGAAGCCAACAGAAGTGGGAGAAGAAGGAAAACAATAGAAGAAAGAGGGTATTGTTCTTAAGTTGAAGCAGAGGCTGCACAGTGCTGGGAGGTGCAGTGTTTACTGTACAAGCCATCGCCTGGCTCAGTGAGAGAAGAACCCCCCCCACACGCTCCTTGTGGATTTCCTCTTTGGGCGGGACTCACCAGACGTAGGGCAGCATCAGAACAAAGGGGCTGATTATGACAATCTGCAGGACCTGCCAGTCATCGCGGCCCGGCCAATTGCGGCACAGCGCGGCCACCCCTGGCATCAGAAGCTGCCCGCCCACCATCAGGAAACTGGCCACCATGGTCATGGAGAAACGCCAGGATGGCAAACAAAGCTCGATCCCTAAAATGAAAAGGCAGTGAGAGAGAGATTTAGTTTCACATGAAACAGAGACTCTTGTGGTGTTGCTGTGGAGACGAGTGAATCATAAGCGTTTAATAACGGTGGGACGAGTACGGAATCTCCTCTCTGAATCAGTGAGGAATCCTGTCAATGATCCTTCACGCGAGAGCACCTTTGTTTGACACCAGGCCGCTTTATAAACCCAGGATGTACTACATGTCAAGGTGTGTGAAAGGCTTCGGCTGCTCGGTGAGCGTTTCACTGTATTAGTCCTTTCTCCGCCCCCCCCGACGAGGCTTTCATCCCCTCCCTTATGCCCCCTGTAACATGGTACAGTCCAGATGGCCCGGACCTTATGGCAAGGTCCTTTTGAAGGTGACCGTTGTGGGAGGGTGGGAGACTCACTAACCTGGCCTCATGTACCATCGCTTGTTGTCGTGAGGAAGAAGAAAACGAGGGGGAGCGAGGGAAGGGAGGAAGTAGGAAGACAGGAGCAGAATACAAATGACTCTTCCCCTCCCAAAGAAAATGCAGAAGTCGCTCCATTCATCAGTTGAATCACTAGAGGAATGATAATAAAGACCAGCAAGGGGAAGATAAAAGCCCACAGAGCGAGGTGGAGGGAAGGAAAAACAAAGAAAGAACCAGAAAGATGACACAGATTTTTCAGATAAGAGAAACAATTCAAGAAGAAGACGGTAGGAGGAACAACATAAAGGTATTACTGAGAACCGCCTCCTCTCTGTGTCACAGAAAGTTCAAATTAATTTCCCAAAAACCCTCTCAGCACCAAGGAACCAAGGAACTCAGGAACCAAAACAGAGCGGAAATTACAGGGACCCAAAATACTTAAACTGCCATGTCTGTCTTCAGCCTGACTCACTGGAGAATTGTTGTATAAAAACCTATTGGGACATTTTGATTGATTAAATGAAGGGGATTAATATTTAAATGGACAATGAAACTGGGTTTTTTTTACAGTAAATTAAAGTATGTTTCTATAACCTGTATATAACTACTGTTAGAGTCTTGATTCCTACTCGATCAACGCTGCATAGTTCAAAGTTCACAAGCGTCCCCGGCCGTGATTGACAGCTGCGTCCGACTCCTCTGCGCTGATTGGTTGTTTTCCTCCAGTTATTCTGCATATGCTGTTTGAAGTACTGAGAAGATGCAGAGGAACCTGCATTTTTTCACAGAGGACCTGTCTACTACTGTCAAGATATAGCGATGTTTTCGAAAAATAACTGCTTAGTTGTTATCTGTTGCTTTTATGTTCTGTAAGTTAAACCGTAATGTGGAAAATAACTAGTAGCTAAAGCTGTCGGATGAATGTGACGTAAAATGGGAAAGATCGGCCTCCGGAATGTAGTCAAGAGTGTCAGTAGCCTAAGATGAAAGTGCAGTGGTACAATTGAAGTCCCGCTTGTCCTGTATTTCCCCCAGTGGTCTCTGCCCTGACAATCAACACACACTGTGTCTCTTTGGTGCCGCTTCCCCCAGCAGTCAATAGATAGATGAGACACACACAGCAGACATAAACTGTACCGGGGCAAAGAACCCAAAAACACTCCTGACTCTGAGGAGGTTTCTGATCCCGCCGACTCTACCGGGATATCAACACACACGCACACACACGCACACACACACACACACACACACACACACACACACACACACACACACTAGCAGGGAGCTTTTGTTCCTGCTGAGTTGGAGAATGGTTCTCCTTGTGCTGATTGTCTCACTGCCCGCCCTCACCCCCCTATGGGCTGATCCTCCCTCGCCTCCCCTTCTGCTCCCTCTTGCTCATCAGGGCTGAAGTGGCTCCCTCACCCTTTGTAAAGCCCCCATCCCCCACCCTACACCCCTTACCCCCTCCTCCTCCTCCTCCTTTCCCTCCACCGTCTTTGCATTGGAACAGTTGCAGAGAGGGGAAGGGAAAAGAAAAACCTGTCATGGGAGAAAGGGAGGCTAAAAACAAAGCGGAGGCAACCACTGATCTTTGATGACAAATGGGCGACAGCGCCACCACACACACTGCGTGTTGTCCACTGCTCCGTCGCTAACCTCGCCTGGGGCACGAGAGCGCGGCACCGAGACGATTGGCTCTCTGACAGCATGAGTTCAGAGAGAAGACCACAGTCTGTGTGTTGGATGCGCGTATTATGTTGCAGTCATGTATAGTCTCGGCCACAAGGCCAACTGACCCACTGTAATGACAAAAAATGGATAGACATCCCCTTTTGTTTCTGGAACGTTACACACACACTCATAAAAGGACTTCACAGAGAGCAGGTTTCACAAGGGCACGGCATGACAGGACAGTACGTCTCCCCAGCTGAGTCAGCAGTCGTCCTCCCAGAAGCTCATAACAACACACACGCATTTATATCTAAATATCTATGGATAGGAGCATAGTGCATGAGTCTGTCCTTAGGCACACGTCTCAGAGCAGAGCAGAGACAAAGATGCTGTTAAAGTACATGCAGCCTAATTCCTTTGGGTCCATGCAAACTTCACCGACATAAATCCTCTCTTTGAGTACATGCACATGCCCACTCCCTGCGGGCCTTGAGAAGCGGCCCAGGAATGTTTTTGCAGCTTGCTGCAGCAGCTCCTGTCAGCTGGGATTCACAGGGTGCGCACTGCTGAATTTGAATCTCGACGCAATTACGTGAGAATAACAAACCCAAAACCAGCATGGAAACCTCTTAAATGGTTCAAGCCGCACTCGCTGCCGTTGATTCTGAAAATCCCAGAACTGTTTTTTTCTGTGTCAGATTTGTGTCTGAACATGTGGCAAGTCCTTCGGGGGGAATTCCAACTCTTTCCGCGATAAGGATTTAGCCGAGTCAGAGCTCAAGTTTGTCAGCCGTCAAGTCTAACTACGGTCACCCTCGGGCTGAGTTCGTCTGAACGAGGCCACGCCATCTGCCAACACAGCGGCCTCCGAGGGAAAACATTTTTTAACTTAACTCAACTGTCAGAACATTGTGCGAGCACCATCCGGCAAGGCCGCCAATCAAATAAGTACAACCTGAACGCTGCACGTAGAGTAAGAGCACTGCAATCCTAATTCATAACGTTGTGCTCAGCTGCACTATGTGAGAAACCTTCACTGTCATGAATCTAATACACAAAGTGGACATGCTAAATTATCTGACAGTGTCCTGCTGGTCTCCCTGTGACCGAGCCCTCGTTTTAAATTGCGATACTTCTGTGTCACACTGCGACCTGCTGGGACCTCTGAAGTTCATGGACCAATGACAGAGAAGTGGTTTGATGCTTGAAATACTAACAGGGGCAAATATTTATCACTCAAAGGGTCTTTATCTTTTCTCTAAATACCGTCTTGACCATTATTTTTCAGGTAACCTTTGACGAGGTGCAGAAATGCGAGGAAAGGGGTACGAGGAGATGGAAAGGTCGCTCCTCCTAACGCCTCCCAGGGGGACGGCCCTTTTGCACGTGCTGAATTGCAAACTAATCAACTCTGAATGCAGGATTGGTGCAAACAACCAGATAAGCAAACAACACATGAATGAACACATTTACATTAGCAGTGCAAACTAAAGCTTCTGCTGGCAGCTCCAGTGGCGTTTATTATTCTCTGTGAGCTGCAGAGAGATAATCAAACGATGAGCGATTTCAAATGAGCCTCAAGAAAGTGAGAATAATGAAATGGTATTGAGAGAGAGGAGCAGGAGGAGGAGGGTGGGATGAATGTGGTCGACGGAAACATAGAGTGAAGATGGCAAAAGCCAGAGAGCTGCTGTATTTAGAAATATAAAAGTCAGCAGTGCGTTCAGAGCGACAGAGGCAGCGAGACAGAGCATTAATGTGTACAGATCGGCACAATGAGACGAGCGGAGGCACGTCAGCGTGCAATCATCCATAATACGGTACACGTGTGCTACATGACGTTCATAATGGGTGTTAGCATCTGTCCTTTTGTTAGCACGAGCAGGATAATGATACTTAACACGCAGAGGAGACCAGGCGGAAGGCAGGGAACCTTGAAACCGGCCGACACGAACGAAAAACAACGTGTCACTTCCAAAACATTGATTGACCCCGAGGCTTCAAGGTGCCCGCTGAGCATCGCTTGGCAAACGATACAGGATACAATGCTGTATCCTGCAGCTGTATCCTGCAGCAATGCAGCTGAAACAGGATACAATGCTGAGGAGCTTCATGCTCCACTCAGCATCCGGGTTGTTCTTGGAACAGTGCGAGAAATGCCAAGTGGGTGTAGCATCACCCCACAGCTCATGCGTGGGTACAGCGTGCGCTGTTACCCTACATGTCCTCTTACATGTCCTCTTACTGCTAAAGGGACGGCAGCATCTGTTGTCTGTGAGTTTGCTTCAAAGCGACTGTGTTCTGTGTCGGATAGTCGACTGCTCCTCCTGCTGTATTGATCGACGCCTCACGCAACTCACAAACACCTTTTGTTTGTTTACACTTCAAAGTGCATGCATACAGTCGGTTCCCTCACACAACAGCAAACACACACTCGCATCATTGTCAACACTGAGCACACAAACGGGTGACATGAAGAAAAGAAATGACCCCCCATTAGGAAATGGACCCGTTTCAGCCGTAAGCTTCCTCAGCGTTTCTGAGACACTGGAGGGTGTAACAGTAACTAGGAACCTGGTGATTACCAACCAGCTGATGCAGATCATCAAAAGCTCTTTATCCCAAACCAGATACTAGTGAGAATAACAGAGCAGTAAATCTCATGAAAATGAAACATATCCTATTGTGTTCGGTTAAATGAACGTTGGATATTTTCCTCATTCAGCCTGTGCGGTGGTCTTCATTTTAAACCCATCATACATTAATGCGCTCTCACATTCCCAAACCCCCGTGACGCTGAAACAAAGGTCCACAAAACAAAACCTCAACATTCTTTCGTTGGCCTTTGTACACATTGCAGATTAAATTCGGTCCCTCTGCAGACGACCCACTTTGTTTGTTTGTTTGTAGAAAGCAGTTCAGCAGATATTTATCAGGATCCCCTGCTGAGAGGGACTAAACCCCCCCGCCTGAGCTCAGAATCTGCCCCCGCTTCATACATAATGATCTACTAATCTCCTACTGGCCCGACTGAGGGGGGCTACAGCGAGTGAGTGGAGGGGGGGTCAGAGGGGACAGTAGGAGTGTTTTCGGAGGCGGGTGGGGAGTGTGTGGTTGGGGGGGTGGAGGGTATTCTCAAGGGGAAATGGAAATGCTGTTAGCCAATTGGCCATTGGCCACTATGCGGAGCCACAGGAGGGACATAGACGCACATATTTAAGATGTGTGCTCTCAAACCATAAGCGTTGAAGTGATCCATTGTTAAATTAGCTTGACGTTACTATAATCTGTGTGTCATCAACATAATTGTGATCCCTAAAGGGTTGAAGTATCCATCTCACCGTCTATATTAACGATTAAACGTATTTGTTTTCTACAAGGGCTGGTGCCTTAACTGTTCAAAGTTAAATACATACACACCCAACACATTTCATCAGCATTGCACTGCGTGAAATACATAATTGGAACCGTTCTTTTAGAACAGCCAACACTGTATTCCTGAGTCATCCGTCATGGCCGACATGTCCCCCTTCGGCGACCAACCGTGAGCGTTTGACTGGAGCTGCTGACGTTTAACGCACAAAGGCATGAGATTTGTTTACCAGACATGCGTATCCCAAAAATAAAGTACATAAATAGTACATTGTGTTTCATTTTGACTTGTAGGCTGTGTGAGGATACAGATGTTAAAGAGTCACTGGACGGTGGTCAGTCTCAAATTGTACAGTACATCAACTTCTATCAAGAAAAAGGCCGATATTGGAAACTTTTATCTTCATAAAACAGAACATATGAAATATTGAATGTAAATTCATTCATTAAACGAGGAGTTATTGGGATTGTTGTTGACACTGGGAGGAAACCAATCATTTTTTCCATGAGACATACGTCCCTTCCAGGGCTCTGTATCGTACCACAGGGGCCGTTAGTGGGTTGATAAATAACCCCAATAAACGACAGCGCACCAATGAGGACATCCGGGAGCAGGGGGAGAGCAGGAATAAGGAGGCGACAGCATTTACTTACTGAGCACGTAGAGGGAGAGAGCGAGGCCCGCCAAGCAGAAACCCTCAAAGAAGCGCAAGGTGCTGAACATGGTGACGTTCACAGAGAAGGCAACACTCAGACCAAACACCAGCATGAAAAGCACCGAGAGAATCAACACGGGGTGTCGACCAAACCTTTAGAAACAGAAAGAAGCAGGAAAGAGAAAGAAGTAGCAAAGTGTTTAATAGCTGTCACAAACTGAGAAGAGGAGCTTCTGCTTTGAAGCCGATGGTTTCCCGTCACGGTTTGCTTCAGGCTTTGTGGACTTCCTGGTAGACTGGGGTCACCGGGTCAATGGGTCAGGTCAGAGCTGAGGACATTTCTTTACATTGTTTCCATGGGCTTTTTTTTCCCACGAGGCAGCTCCAGCCGTCTGACCCGACCACATTGACTTTTGACATTTATTGAATTGACAACAGCTTGCCAACCAATTACAAAAACATACATTCTGTTAGTTTTATTTTTTTTAAAGTTCAATTATTTAGTAGCAAAACTTCTGTCTGACTTTGTTTATTGGAAATTCTTTCAACTATAGTGAAGACAACGACAGGGCGCCAGTGTCCGTAGTCTATATAATAATCAACATCTACGTACTGGCAGAAAACCTTTGATTCAGATTGAATTGTCTCAGTACAGTACATCTGTGAGCAACTCTTTTTTAGGTGTACGACCTAATCCTCCAAAACTGAATACTGATGATTCAGTTTTAAGCATTAACAAAACACACCTGGCTTTGGGATGTGATCATAAGCATTAGAGAAATCCTCCACAAGTTAAACCAAAAGTACCGTCACGCTGGATTGGAGTAGACTTAAGGGAGAAAATATATTTTGGTGTAACTTAGATCTTTTTAAAATAAGGAGCTGTAAAGGAGCACAGGACAAGGAAGACGCAGCTTACCAGTCGGCCATGACACCCATCACTAGGTAGCCAAATATGGAGCCCACCAGCAGAGAGAACTTGGCAATGTGCACCTTCCAGGCTGAGTCACACACCAGGTTCCACTGAAACGAGAGGAAAAACAGAGAGGAACATTATTTTATTTACTGTACGTCGCTTTGGATAAAAGCGTCAGCTAAATGGCATGTTATGTAATTATTCAACTTTTCAGAGAAAACCACCCACAACAAGATGAAAAGGAATTAAACATCAGCAGCTGAGCAGTTTTAGTCTATTAGCTGCACAAAAACACAAAGAATTATGGGGTTTTCTCATCAGACGTCTGTCAAACTCTGACTCGCTGCTCTGATGATTCCTGATGGTTGATTAGTGTGCAAACAGGCTGCGAAACGCTTCTGAAATATTCAGACGTGCATTTGAGTGACAAACAAGAACGCCCGTGAGAAAACGTGTCCGTGTGTTCGTAATAACAGAAATCAATAGCTTTCCACTCCCCATGGGTCACACAGCCTCAGCATCTGAAACCCAGCCAAGAACACACGTGCAAGCATGATGTGTATTTATATTTGTGCACGACTCCGAGAGGATCTGCAGGCGTGCAGCAGAGCAATCGAGCCGCGTGTAAAAAAAAAGAGACAAAAAGCGTTGGTGTTTAACAGTAATTTACAGAACTCCATGCTGAGCCTCCGACTGTGCCGAGCAGAGAGGGAGGTGATTATTGGTTATGACTGATGTTTTTGGTGTAGGAAATGGCCGGTGGTGTTGCAGAGAACTCAATGTGGCTTTATTAGGCACGGGACATTAGCGCCATATGAGAAAACAGATGTCAGTCACGCACAGAGGCCAGAGCTGGGTGGCATTTTGACGATATGACCGTCCAGTTTGGATCATGTTACAAAAGGGTAATAAAGGTTTGTAAACTGGATTTTTGACTTCTTCAGAACACGGTTCCGTGACATTCACTAAATTGAAGCAGAAGAGGGAGAAGGCTTTATGTTCCTGGGTCTCTGGCTCCAGGTTAGTTTCACAACTCGGTGTGATGTGCAGCAATGAGCTGAACATCACAACATGAGTGGTTGGTTATTTACTGGCCACTGTGATTATTCTAGTATTCTTAAAAATACAACTATATTGACTTCAACCATGATTTCCCACGCCGAGCTACCGCATGGACATTCGCTGCTGTCTCTAACACACACACACACACACACACACACACACACACACACACACTCTCATATTGAGGTCAGGCGGGAATCTCTGCTCTGAACTGGGGGTGATGAAGACAGAGGGCGGCGGTGATGATGATGATGATGATGATGATGATGAACAGAGAGCTCTATCTCAGATAAAGCTGTGGCTCTCTCTGGGGCTCAGTCGTTACCTTGGTAACCACATTCTGACTGAGTCCCGTCTGCAGCTCCAGCTTCCACTCCTTGCAGGCGCACGGCATACCGCCGCCGCCTTCGCCGTAGCCCCCCTCGGTGCCGTTGCCCGCGAGTTGCCACGCGGGCGCGCCGCCGGTGACCGGCGGGGAGCCGGCGGTCCAGTTGCTGTCGTTCGTGAGGGGCTGCAGGCACGTTCCATTGGGCTGGGCCAGGAGGAAATAATCCGAAAACTGGCTAAAGCCAATGAACAACGCCGGTATCCAGGTCAGGACCACGAGCTGCTTCTGATGTTTCCCGAAACCCCCCAAAGACGGCAGGACCGTGCGGTCGATGTGCGGCAGCAGCCGGGGCGCCGGGTGCTCCAGCGGGGTGAAGCCGTTCTCGGCCGGGTGGTCTTGCGCCTCCAGGCGGCCGGCTGCCATCACGGCCCGGCCACAAAGAGAGCCGCCGAGCGCAACAGCAGGCGAAGAGAAGCCCCCCCACCACCCACCCCAATCCCCCCCACCCCCGCCCCCCACCCCGCTCCGTCGCCGTCCGAGCACTCCGCGTTAAGCCCCGTGACACAAAGGAAGCCCGCGGCGCAGATAAATCCTGTGTGTAGCCAACAAAAGCCCGATCCAAATATAGCGCGTCTCCGGTGCGTGGGGGGCGGGGGGCGTGCGCAGGCACCAGATCACCGAGCAGTCGTCTTCATGGCGAGGCGGGATTGAAGCGACCAGGGGATGTCCGAGTGGAGAAGCTGTGTCAGGAGGAGAGGGCTCTGGAGAGGCTCCCGGGGAGGAGTGGAGGCGGACAGGCGGGCGTGCTCACCAGCGCGGGCTTTGTATTCCATGAGTGCAGGTCAGCTCCTATACAGCGAGATCCATCCATGTGCTGCTCAAAGTGGGCCAGGCCTGCTGGTGATGTAGAAGTACAATAAGGGGCTGCACATCCACACTGGGGTCCTCTTAGACATCTACTGGTCCTTCATCCTGTGAGCGCCACAGGTCTCGCACCTGCCCAAAACGGGCACCTCCTGGGGTTGCGCATCACTTGGCTTCTCGTGTCCAGAGCATCCGCGCGCCAAGTCCTCACCTGCCCGCGTCCCGGCGGCGTTGAGAGACGTGGTGGAACACACGCCGCGCGGTTTGTCGCCGTCCAGTCAGTGGGACATGGAGCTAAAGTGGCGCTGGGAGCGGAGATGGGGGGGGGACAAGCCCCGCCCTCCCCGGTCGCGCTATGCGCTGCGATTGGAGAGCCTTCAAAGGGCGACTGCACCACTGACGGGCATCTGCAGGCAACAACGATCCCCTTTGTGCAGCCTCTGCCCTTTCCACCAGATACGAGGCGCGTTGCGATCCGATCAGCCACCCGACTCAGGAACGAGAGAAGCGGCGGTGGTTTTACACGCACAGGCGGTTTGTGGCCCCATGAAGGTGTTTACGCCGTGCGCTTTGGGGTCACAGGCGGCACATGAACAGGCAGCATTAGTGAGTTCGTGGTTATAGGAGACAATAGGTGGAGGTCAGTATTCGTTGGGAGGGGGGTGTTGAGGTGTTGCCTGCCAGCCGCGAGGTGGCGTCAAACGACCACAATACCCGCCCTCACCTCCGTTTGTCCCCATTAATCAGGCGATCCGCAAAATTAAGACGCAGGAAATACGTTACGCTGCGTTTTTTTCGAAACATTAAAACGTCTCCAAAGGGACATAAACGGCCAGCGGGTTAATGTTGCTGCTGCTCCCAAATGAGTGCGAGTGACCTTGAGATGCAATTCCCCTCTGCAACTTCTACAAACGCGCCATTGTGTGTGTGTGTGTGTGTGTGTGTGTGTGTGTGTGTGTGTGTGTGTGTGTGTGTGTGAATCGCATGGGGCTGATATTTAGGGTGCGGCTGACGGTGTAGCACAAAGGTGCAACTTGTGCTCATCTCTCACTCATCTCTCACCTTCCTCCTCACCCCACCCTGCAACGCTCCACCTCCTTCTCCTCCTCCACGGGGACTTATTTAAGATTATCCAGGGGGAGCAGACCGTGTGAGTGTGTGTGTGTGTGTGTGTGTGTGTGTGTCATCTGGTCTGCTAATCACACCCATCTTGTAACAAATATCGGGCTCAAGTATTCTCGTGGTCCTACACAGAAGGTGTCACACCTCATTTTGAATTCATATATATTTTATTAAGTTAGAGCAAGCTAAATTGAACTGAATGTCACTTTTTTAATTAGGTCACAATAATTGCAATGATGTATCAAAATAACATAGTGATTTCTTTTGGGTGTCCACTTGCAGCTGCTGAAACATTTTAGGAAATGTGCTTATTCGCGTTCTCTCAGGGAGTTATGCATGAAAATGGATAACCATTACAACCTCAGCATAAAGACTGAATTAAGGCCAAATAACTAGGGTCTGTCCCAAAAAAGCCCCTTTAAAGCTCATTAGAGAACACGTCATATCTCATTTGTTACACTGAAATATACATTTATCAGTGTTTTCAGATCATTGCATCCTGTGATTGAGGCTGTTGGGCTTTGTTTCGACTCCTGCTGGATATCTTTATTTAAGCGGCAATCAATTGAGGCAAATGAGCCGAGAGGCTGCTGCACTCCAGTTTCTCTTGTATCTGATTGCGTGTGCAGCTTTCTGCAAGTAAAATGGTTTTCTGTGGAGCATTCTCAGCAGAAACACATGCCACAACTATTTCTTGGCGAACACGGCTCAGTGCTGGGAAATCTTGTTGTCTCCCGAAGGTTGCCAGGCAACCAGCCGCAACCCGGCACTTTGGCAGGAAGCACGAGGCAGATTTTTCAACACGGAACAGATTCAGCTCATAATTCCTCTCTAAACTTCCTCCTTATTAATTTTAATTGACGAGCTATTAAATTAAAGGACAATATAATTTCCTCCTTCTGCACCTTTTGTTACATGTGAACTGATAGTGGTTTTTTGTATTAAGTATTATTTTGTTCTTTGAACATGCTTTACATCCAATTTAAGTTTACCGCAATGTATTTAATTAATAAATGCACTGCTCGTTGATTCTATCTGGTTATTATTATCAATATCAATTTGTGCATATGGCATATATGATACTAACCCATCGTTTTGTTTTTCTGTCAAAGTTGTTCATTTTGTTGCATAAATGCCCACTTACATCTGTATTATCTTATGATGATGAATTAAATGTGATAAAAGGAGAACATGACGCAAAATGCCACAGAGACGAATGTGAGATTGATGAAAAAATACCAGATAAAAGTATAGTGTACATATAAAAAAAGACATTGCGGTATAATGAACTTAAACCAGTGGCTTAGTTTGTGTATAAATGCTTTTACGATGAAGGAAACACAAGGTCAGCAGCCATGTGTGTTTATTGTACTAAAGCTGCTTCATAAAATGCAAAAATAGCTGGATTCCTCTTAAAAAGGAATAGTTCCAGAATTTGGGAATTGTGGTCTCGCTTTTTCCAATAGTTTGATGATAAAAACAATAGTAATCTCCGGCCTGTGTGGAAAAAATAAAAGCAAGGCATTTCTTGCCTTTGCTTGAATAAAGAAGTCACATTAAACGATCTGTACTCCTCTGACAGGCCGGGAGCGGAAGAATTCGTCTTTATGCGAGGAGGTCACTGCTTTCACGGTGACCAGTGACCCAGATTGGTTCAGGTGTCATGTGACGGCTCTCAGACGGCTCCTCCCTCCCATTCATCCCTCCCCTGCTCTGTCTCCATGCCCCCAGAAGGCATATCCATATCACCCCGGTGCACAGGTACACCTCTGTCTCTCTGCAGCCTGTTCTAGTGTTCACCAGACACCAGTACACACAGTGGACATTCCTCTCTGTGTCACATACACGTATGCACTATAATACTGCTCGGTGGCAATATCAGCATAATATCATAAAACATCGCAGATACGGGAGGCCATGTTTGAACTGTGCACAAAGCTCATCTCAGTTTGCACCAATTCCCTGCACAGTCCACTCTTTCACCGTTGATGCAAAGCCCCTCAAGCGATGAACGCGTATCGCTTTCCCTCCCCCTCCCTTCTGTGCTCGTTCTGGTTCTCACACACCTGCAGGTGCAAACACAAAAATTATACTTTTCTCTTTCCTTACTCCCTGTGATTCATGTCAAAACGACTGGAATGAGAGTCCCGTCTCCTCCCTTTGCATAACTATTTGAGTGTGTGTGTTTGTGGCTGTTGGTTTCTGGTTGCAACATACTCAGCTCCACCCCAACCTTCACCGCATGGCCTGTATGAGAACAAAGTTTGTGCAAAGTCTAAATAACTATGCAAAAGTAAGTTTCAATAAACCAGTCACATATTAGGACACTGATACAGTTGCAGCGTCAGGCATTTTGTGCTAGAGGAAGGTTTCACATTTCTTTTTTCTTTCTTCTTCATTCTTTGTAGCTGCAACGGCTATTTGTGTTTTTTGTATTTGTGTATGTGTTTCCTTCTTCAGGATTTATGCAAAGCAAACTGGGAATTTGTTTCACACCCAATCCTGGCTCAACCTACCTTTTCAAGTTTTTGGTTCCAATAGCCGGTTGGATTTTGGCTCCAGTTACAAGCTGATAAAAATACCCAACACATTTACCTCAGAATCTTTTTATCTTAATCTCTGCTTTTGTTTATTCCAGCACTTGGTGATGCACGAAGAAACGAGCTCACAGATAGATCTCCATTTAGATAGATCTTGTTTATCCCCAGAATAAATGTTTGGATTTTATTTTATGAGAACGTCTCAATACAATACAAATGCTATTTTAAAAGGAAACTAAAATATAATCAGTTTATTTAAAAAAAAAAGAAGGATATAACACCATAGAACAATTTACCTCAACTTGATGTTGATGTTTTTTGCTAAATCTTCAGATAATTTAAACCTGCTGATTGATATTTCTTAGTTATGGAGTTGATTACTTTGGAATCTCCTTCTGCACCACCTGGTTATGCAAGTGCAGACAAGGATGTTACCTGTGCATGCCACTTGCCCTGAGGGAGTCACTGCTAGGCCACACCTGTGCATCAGTGCAGACCCGACTAGTTTGTTATGTGAACATTGACAGACTCTTGGCATTCGTTTGGCTTAAGTGTGTGAACAACAATGTTATCTGCGGACACAATAAGCATAACATAATAACTTCCTGCTCAGCAGAGCAATTGTGAGAACTCACAGCTCAATTTAGTGACACTGGAAGCTTTCTGCAGCATAGAATAAACTGTATGTAAAACATATCAATCCAATCAAATCACGAGGGCGTGTTTTTGTTCTGCAAGTTCCTACATGGTGCCTTGTAATATCTTTGATCTGAGAACAATGCTGGAGAAGCAGCCACACCCTCGACACCAGCAATGATTACTATTAGGGCCTAGTCATTAGCACTTTAATCCGTCCTGAAAACTTTCCCTGAACACACACGCACAGACATTGGACACGCACAGACATTGACATGCATGAGACAACACCCCCAGACTGAACAATTAAAACGCTTCTGCTCTTAAAAGTCGTAAAGGGAGATGAACTGTCTGTACATGTGTGTGTGTGTGTCTGTGTGTGTGCGTGCGTGCACACTGGACTAGGAGGTTTCATTTGATCGCAAGATGAATGTAAAAGCACTCCTTCACAGTTCCCAGCCCATCATGGGTGTGTTCTAGGGTGTGGAGCCCTCTATTTTCCCAGGAGCGTCCTCCAGTTTGCCTGAAGGACAGTTAAAGAACAGATTATAGGGCGTTTGAATTCCAATCCAAGTACAATTACTCAAGTACCATACCTATCTACCATTTTAAGGTACTTGTACTTAGATATTTCCATTGTCCACTTAAAAGTTGTATTTCACTAGATATTTTTGAGGAAAATATCATTTACTTTGATGTTACTTTTTAATAAAGGAACTTTACTTGTAACAGTACTTCTATATTAGTTCTACGGCCTTAGATCAGCTTCCTTGATTAAGGATCCTTGCTGCCGAGTGAACACCATGTAAATTTAAATGTAATGCTTTTTCAGTTAAACAAAAGGATTGAGTCTTTCTTCTGAATAATTATTAGGGTTGTTATACCTTTCAAAGTAGATCAACAAAAAAAAACATCTGAATGTGTTGGGAAAACAAACAGCAAGCAAGAGGGAAGAAGCTTTTCCTCCTAGAGTCCTGAAGCGGAAAAGTTATTTTGGGAAAAATAATTATGGACTAGAAATATGTTACTATTCCTTAAATAAGGTGCATGATTGTGGTCTTTGATGCAGAACTTATTATACCTGTGTGTTGAATAAGCGCTGCATTAGATACATATATAACATTTTCAAGGTCCATGCGCCACAATGTTTTCCACAGGCGGTTATATAAGAGATCTCATGTCGAGCACCTTTTAGAAACCTATTAAAGTGTGCAAGCCTTATCTTGTCTTAGGTAATCAGGAGTGAAAGCAGATGGGACAGG